TGCATTCAATATAATATGAATTGCAATTTTAATTAAAAGTAATAAATTAGTCTTTCAAATTATATTTATTTATTTCATATCAAGATAAATTATAAATTATAAATATATTTTATTGAGAATTCTGATATTATTGTTATATTATATATAATATAATATGTAATAACAATATATATGATGTATTATTTATAATTTTTTGTGTGATTGTATAGTAAATATATTTGAATTTTATCTTGTATTATTGTGATGAAGAACAATTTCTTACCCAATTTAAGAACTAATTGTTTTATATATACAAATAAAACTTTAACTTATCAAGATTTCACTTGACTTTTGTAATATTTCCTTATTATAAAACGGAAAAATCAATGATCTTATAGGGGGGTCGACTGTATAATAACAATATATATGATGTATTATTTATAATTTTTTGTGTGATTGTATAGTAAATATATTTGAATTTTATCTTGTATTATTGTGATGAAGAACAATTTCTTCTCCAATTTAAAAACTAATTGTTTTATATATACAAAAAAAACTTTAACTTATCAAGATTTCACTTGACTTTTGTAATATTTCCTTATTAAGAATTGTTTTATTGTATTTGGGTAATTTTTGAGAATTGGGGCAATTTAACACCATTGCTCATTCATAAAGTACATAACTTAACAACACCCAATACTGAAATTTACAGATTTACACAAATCAAATCACACTACTACACTTAATTTATTTGCATTAATATCTAGAATGCCATTTATATAACCAGAAGTTCTATCTAAGCTGTAATTAACACTCTTATTTTTGCTAAACTCAATGTTAAATTTTAGAAAATGCTACAATTTTAAATAAACCATTTCTTTTAAAAGAAGTTGTTTTATTTCTCTTAGTATATGGTTTAATTTTTATTAAGACATATGAAAATGAAGCTTAACTAGAATTTTAATGTTTGTTTACTTATTTTTATATTAAAAATAGCTGTTTTTTCAACTCTTCTATGTAACTCTTGAATACATTGATGATTCTGACATTTTATTTTTTACATGTTTAATAGATTTAACTGATTGTGAGCACTTAAAGCCAGGAGTTGTGTGACATCATTTAGGCTTCTGACATACCAATAGAGCAGCTATGTGACATGTATGTATGAAAATTACTTTGTGGATAATCAACTCAATGGTAAGTGGCTGGAAGTGATTACATTTATTTGAAATCATTACTATATTTATTCATATTTCAGAATCAATTTTAAATAATGTTCTTTTTTAATTGTTCAGGTTATCTGCTCCACACACCTTCCTTTAGAAAATGTTGATATTGAACTTTGTCACTGCAATCTTTTAACAAACATTTCCATTATGACAAAGAGCATGCAACATTTTCTTCTATAAATGGTCAGTGAACTACTTTACTTTACTTTTATATTCCCGGGACCATTTTAATTTTAAATTTTGTAAAAATTGGCATTCAGAGTTTGATTTGTCTTGATGTTCATTTTGGATTAATTAGCCCTATGTTAATTAAGCACAATAAAATTAGGTTCAAATTTTCTTTATCATATATAATGTAATAGAGATAGCTGTAAAAGCAGATTATAAATTATGAATTATTGTAAAATTTATATTTTAAATAAATAAAGATTCATTCTGTTTAAATTTTCATTCTATATTTTACTATATATGTAAAGAATTAATACTTGTAATTAATAATATTTGTAATTTAATATGTTTGTGATTGCTATGACAACAAAGTATTTAAATTTATATTTTAGATTTGTTGTACTTCTTTTAAACTTAAACAATACAGTTTTAAAGAACATTAAAAAGTGTATTTGAGAGAGAGTACTTATTTTTTACTGTTAAACATACAGATACCCCTCATTATAGCAAACAATTTGAAGTCCAATTTGGCCACCTGTAAGACTTAGCTTAAGAAATGTCAATATAAATTTCAGAAAATCAAAGGATTTTTTGCTATGCAGAACGCTCCCAACATATTCAAACACTGGGATGGGTTCAAAGAAAGTGATTATGAAATTTTATAGATGACTGGACAAAAGGGAAATGTCTAGAAGATGCCTTAGATTAAGGCTGGTGTGGTGGGTGGACTGGATTATTTGTTACCTATGTAAGAATATTCTGGAAGTACCCAGTGAAAATCCATAAATGAATGGATGACACCAGTGACAGAATCTTTCAGACCATAGGCCAGGAATGTCACCACCAAATAAGATGTGTATGGAGATGAAACTAGGAAGTTACAAGAAGGAGAATGTAAATATGAGTTTTATATTCAACGAATCCTTACACTACTTTACTATCAAATGGGTAATATACTTTACTATGTTGTTGTTATGATCCATCAGTCACTGAAAGTAATCTTGTCAGACTTCATAATGAAATATGCCAAAGGGTAATTAATTTTCATTGTTCAAAAAGCTTCTTTCTACAAGAAGTTGAGCAAGGGAGTTTGGCATCACCCTTTCCATTCTGTCAATGATTTTAAAAGATCATCCAACATTGAAAAAAGGTAAGAAGATCCAATGTTGAGTCCAGCAGGAATAAAACACATAGCACACAATTTGAGGATGTGCGGAAAGTTATTCTTATCTGGTTTCAAGATGTTTAAGCGTGCCACTGTCCCATAGAAAGTTCCTTGTTATTACAGTACAGGGAATTTTTGAAAAGTATGGAATTATCTCAAAATCTTTATGCAGAGAAACATTGATGTTTCATTGCACATAGCATGTATGGACTAAAGACAAGATACAATATTTAAGTACAGCACAGATGACATTTTCAATCCTGATGAAACAGATAGTTTCTTCCAACTGCTGCAGAGAAAGCAAAATTGCTAAATAGCGATTAACAGCCATGTTTTATTGCAATACCTCAGGTAAGAAATGATTTCGTATTACACTACACTGCATTCTTTCATCCCTTTTATCCTAAGAAGGATCAAGTACTGATATCCACTGTACTGTACATGACATAGATATGTGGTATATGAGACCCTTAATCATTGCCAAAACATCAAGAACATATTGTATTATGTGAACAATGTGTGCTCTCTACACACTGCAAATTGCCAAGATTGGATGATGCAGAGCATTTTTAATAAATAGTTGAACTGGAAACTATAATATATTAAAAATGAAACAAAAGTAAAGAGTCAGCTGTGAGATGACAACTGCTTGGTTTGAGTCCTATCTGCAAAATGTGCAAGTTGAGTGTTTCTACACTGCTGTTCTACAGCTGATCTTGGAATAATCCATACTGTACAGGCTGAATATTGATTATTTTTAGCAACATCCATAACTATGTCCAGAGAAAGATAAACAAGCTGTTGACAAGACTGCTGCAGCATGTGCACATGTCATGAATTCTATCATACTATATTTTGTCTGGTAGCATTAGAAACCACAAAATGTCACAGGTTCTCTAACAATGGTGTAGGAAAACAAAGTTAATGACTACTATTAACCTTTTTCTAGTTCAAAGTATATAGATTATACTAAATAATATTAGTTAATGGTGATGTCCCTTCCATTAACTGTCAGAATTATTATTACTGTTTGAACAAAATATAATTTTTAACACTCTACCAGCAAAAGTATTTATTAACATAACATTATTTCCAGGATTATGATGGATAAAATTCATGAAAATTATTAAAAATAAGAAACTGCAATCTTAAAATGAAGTATATAGTGAAATTTAACAATTGATATGGTGTATAACTTTCCCTGAGGACAAAATTGACCATTGGTTAACGTCAATACTTAAAGACGACTTCACAGATAGCGATGCTAATGTGAGTCTCTCATAATATATTTACCAAATTGTTTTCTTTAAAAACAAGCAATTATTTATTGTGACATTGTCACAATGATGGACTGCAATTTCTAATCATATTTTTAATTTAAAATATATCATCTCCACCTCAAATTTGTAGTGACTTGCCCCTGGTACATCACACTTTTCCTTTAACAATACAGTTGTGCCAGTCATATCTCTAACACCTTCCAGGGGAAGATTTTAATCGAAATAACGCAACTTCCGGTTTGCATCGGAAGTTCTTATATAGTTAATTGGGGCCTTCTCCCACAAAGTTTTCCGTATCGGATTCCCTTCTCGAAATTAAGGAATCACAGATCGAATTTATAGGTCTACTAATTGCAGTCCAATATGTATCTTAATATGTAAATCATAAAACAAAGTAAAAAAATTAAAATAAGTTAATGACAGTGGCATGTTATAGCTTGACGAATCCCATTTGAATTAGGGATGCCCCACCCAGAAAATTGCATTTTTTGCCCATAAAATAACACACCACTGGTTAACAAAATTATTTTTTGTATATTTTTATTGTTCGATATACTGTTATGTGTATAACGTCACTATTGCAAATTTACATTAGTTTATTAATAATTTTATACAATGTTATACAATATAAAAGTCTTATGTATTGTTATACAATACATAAGACTTCTATTCGTAACAACTTTAATGATGCATTAATACAAAATAAAACAACTTTTATATTCAAAATTAATTTATGTCACATAATNGACTACTATTAACCTTTTTCTAGTTCAAAGTATATAGATTATGCTAAATAATATTAGTTAATGGTGATGTCCCTTTTATTAACTGTCAGAATTATTATTACTGTTTGAACAAAATATAATTTTTAACACTCTACCAGCAAAGGTATTAATTAACATAACATTATTTCCAGGATTATGATGGATAAAATTCATGAAAATTGTTTAAAAAGAGAAACTGCAATCTTAAAATGAAGTATATAGTGAAATTTAACAATTAATATGGTGTATAACTTTCTCCGAGGACAAAATTGACCATTGGTTAACGTCGATACTTAAAGACGATTTCACAGATAGCGATGCTAATGTGAGTTTATTATAATATATTATTTATCAAATGGTTTTCTTTAAAAACAAGCAATTATTTATTGTGACATTGTCAAAATGATGGACTGCAATTTCTAATCATATTTTTAATTTAAAATATATCCTCTCCACCTCAAATTAGTAAGGACTTGCCCTTGGTACATCACATTTTTCCTTTAACAATACAGTTGTGCCAGTCATATCTCTAATTTTATTTGAAATATAGTTAATTGGGGCCTTCTCCCACTAAGTTTTCTGTATCGCATTCCGTTCTCGAAATTAAGGAAAGACAGATCGAATTTATAGGTGTATAAATTGCAGTCCAAACATCTTAATATGTAAATCTTATTACTTTTCATAACTTGAAACATAAAACAAAGTAAAAAAATTGAAATAAGTTAATGACAGTGGCATGTTATAGCTTCACGAATCCCATTTGAATTTGAATTAGGGATGCCCTACCCAGGCAATTGCATTTTTTACCCATAGGATAACACGCCACTGGTTAAAAAAACTATTTTTTGTATATTTTTATTGTTCGATATACTGTTTTGTGTATGACGTTACTATTGCAAATTTAAATTTGTTTATTAATAATTTTATACAATGTTATACAATATAGAGGTCTTATGTATTATGTCTTATGTATTGTATAACAATACATAAGACTTCTATTCGTAAGAACTTTAATGATACATTAATACAAAATAACACAACTTTTATATTCAAAATTAATTTAATTATAATGAAAATTTTAATTGCAAACTTACTTTAATGCTATTTTAAATACGCATTCAACAATTTGTTTTTATTACAACTGCCACATAAACACATACGGCACACTAAATATAGCATAATGGCACCCGTATTCGAATGTTTACAGCTGTTATAAAATTTGATATTTTTATTACAACCTGTAGAAGCACAAATAGAAAAATTCATATATGAAAATAAAGATTGTTCTACACTTTCCATCAAAACAAAACACAGTTAAATACAACAGCAGTCGGCAATAAGCGGAAAAATAGCTTCATATAATTCTTCATAAGTATTTTTTGCATATTGTAAAAAATATATAAATTTCATATACGATTTTAAAATATTACTCCTAATTTTTCCAATTATTAAGCATCTCGAGAAGCAAGTTTTAAAGGGTCTAAATCAATATGTTTACAAACAATTCCTTGTAAAATTGTTAAGACCATTCAGTAGAAAATTATCACCATATACTTATCAATAGTTGTCTTTTCAGGTGCTGT